CAGAGGAAGAATTTAATGGGTATCAGAGTTTCTTTGTTTCAGTCATTCATGGTGGGGAAGGCATGAAGAAAAGCTCAGCTCTTGGTGCTGGGGTGTGTGGAGGAGGCTGTCCACATCACTGTGGACCAGGAAGCAGAGAGCCAGCAAAGAATGGAGCCAGGTAAATTTGCAAAGGCCCATCCATCATCCCTAGTTCTTCCAGCTGGACTCTGTCTGGTAAAGGTCCACATGCCCCCAAATTAGCATCAGTGGCTGGGGACCAATTACTCAAAATGTGAATCATAGGGGATATTTCAGATTCAAACTGCAACTGTATATTGTTTTGCTTTCTTCGTTTCCTTTTTTATTTTATTTTTGTTTTTTTTTTCTATGATGAGACCTCACCAAGCATTCCCTCATTTAGAGAGTAGAACAAAAATCTATCTTCGGGTTTTCTACAGGCAAATTGGTTCCTGTCTTGTGCCCATGAGTTTCCTCTGGAGATGTCCTCTGAAGAATCCCAACTTAGAGTCTACTGGAGGTAGTATGCACGTGATGGCCATTCTTGCTCACTAGCTTGACTGCATCTGGAATTTGCTAAAACTCAAACATCTAGGCACACCTGTGAGGGACTTTTTTCTTTTTTTTTTTTGTTTTTTGGGTTTTTTTGTTTGTTTTTTACGAGGGGACTTTTTTTCTTAATTAAATAATTTGAAGTGGGAAGTTCCACTTGTAATTCATATCTTTGAGGTGAGAAGCTAGACCTTTAGTCCTGGTCTTTTGAGACGGGAAGAATCACCTTCAGTCTGGGCCACACCTTCTTCTGGAAGCCTACATGATTGGATATGGAAGATGAAAGCTTATTCTCTCTTTGACTGCTTGCTCTTCCTCTCAGTAGCAAGTTCATTCCTTCACTGGCATTAGAGCCTATTTCTTTGGGATTCTGGGATATACTGAAGACCAGTTGAGACATCCAGCCTTGTAGACTGAACAACTAAACATTTATGGGATTCTTTAACCTTCTATTGGTGGTAGCCATTGTTTAACTAGCCAGACCACACAGATTACACACACACACATAGGGGGGAGAGAGAGAGACAGAGACAGAGACAGAGATTATTCATTCTGTAAGGTCTGTTCATGTAGAGAACCCTGACAAATACATATTTTTTTATTTTTGGCAGCAGAACTTAGTAGTAAAAGAGTCACCCAGGTAGTGACAGACATGAAGGCAGGAAGAGGTCATGGAGAGCATCTGAGGCTTGTGTGGAAGGGTTGAAGATTCTAAAGATAGCCCTAGAGAGGCTATTGGTGAAAGTGTAGTCCAGTTGTAGCAAGAGACCCAAGCGTTCTGGAGATGCCTATCATTCATGAGCAATAGCAGGTAAGGAGTGGATCCAGTCTGAGCTTAGGAGCAAGCTGTGTGTGCTACGGAGGGCAGAGATGGAGAAGGAGCCCAAATGTTTTGGAGGAGCCCAGAGATCATGAGTGAATCCCATATTAGACATTAAGTTGTTTATACTGTTGGAGTTTGGTTTCTCTTTATTTAGAGTATGACTATGCCCAGGCTCTATCTTCTTGAACTAAGAAAGTTTTTTAGCTTAATTTTGATTTTTACGGGAGTCCACAGTTGAGAAATTTTAAACTTTGAAAGAAGATTTTGGTTTAAAGAGAATGGATATTTTAAACAGACTGAACTTTAGTGCATTTAAATTTGTAAAGACAGTGGGACTTTTATAGTTACTTATGTTCTTAATGTGAGGTCTTGAGAATTAATAAGAGGGAAAAGTTGTGGCTTATAGTGATATATTTGTGTGTCAGGTTGACAAGGGGTCAGCTGTTCTGGCTTGTTCTCTGTCACTGTGGCAGAAGCTAGTCCCTGGAAAGGAGGGACCCTCAACTGAGAAAATGATTCCATAAGATCTGACTTTAGGCAAGCCTGGAGGGCATTTGCTTAATTAGTGATCGATTGTCCACAATGAACAGCCTGGCCCATTGTGGGCGGAGCCATCCCTGAGCAGATATTTAGGAGAAATTGCTGTCAGCCTACCCAAGTAGCAACCGCCCAGTGCCCAGGCCAGCATGAACATGAGCAGGCACTTCTCCCTGAGCCAAGCCTGCCTCCATGGCCAGAGACACCAATAAGAAAAGGAAAATGCAGCAGAGTGGGACCTTGGGAGCGGGTATAAAGGCAGGTCTAACTTCCTGAATAAATGCGTCTGCAGCATACTCTGCTACTCACTGAGTCTTTGGTGCTGAGTCTTCTCACCCCCTCCCCCAAGGGGTGTCTGAGCAGGGTAACCCCGCAACACAGGTGGCCCTAGGGTCTATAAGAAAGCAGACTAAGAAAGCCAGAGCAGCATCCATCATGGCCTCTGAGTCAGCACCTACCTCCAGGTGTCCTTGTTTGTGTTCTTACCCTGACCTATTCAGGGATGAACAATGGTGTGGAAGGGTAAGCTGAACAATCCTTTTCTTTCCAAGTTTCATTGGTTGTAGTGTTTTATCTCAGCAATAGTAACCCTACCCAAGACAATGTGCTTGTATGGATGAGATCTTATTTACTTCTTAAGTATTTAGTTTTGTGGTTGGGGTGTGTGTGTCTGTGTGTGTGTATGTGTGTGCATGTGTGTTGGTTTGCATGCAGAGGTCAGTGGACAACTTCAGGTGTCCATTCTTGACTTCTACCTTGTTTGGAGATAGAGGCTCTCTTTTCTGTCATTGTTCAGCATAGCTCAGGCTGATTGGCCTACTGCTCCTAGGGATCCTTCTGTGTGTTCTATCTGAGTATGAGTGCTGGGATCGCAGATGTGCACTACCAACACCAAGTCTGATGTTCTCATGAGATCTGGCGATCTGAACTCATATCATCAGGTTATTGCTGCAAGAGTTCCTAGCTTCTAAGACGTTTCCCTGACCCCTATTTACTGTTTTCAGGAAGAAAAGTTTTTTTGTATCTCTCCAAGGGAGATGTAGATTAGTGTGTTAAATCTTTGTATGTCAGGACTAGCTCTCAGATACTTCAGAAACATCTTAAATTAATGATCCTGTAGCCTGTGGTAAACCCATGATCAACTTAGCCTTCCTTGTTTCTCAGTGTAAGGAATTGGGATGCCTGGACACAGATGCCATGCCATGGGACAGGAAGGAAACGGGACTGCCCCTTACCCACTGTCTTTCCCATCTCCTTTGCCTGTGCCTACTATGCTGAAGAGTAATGTCACAGCCATTCATTGGAATGAAGTTTTGCCTAGCCAGAGGAAAGATGTCATACCAGTTATTGACTTTGGAACGCATTCAATAGCTGATGTCAATTGGAAGTCATCAATGCAATTTCGAGTAGTTACTTCGTGTCCCTTAGTGGAAGAGAAAGCCAGCCACCTCCACCATCACCTCACTGGGGTCAGAAAGGAAGCCTGTTTTCTCTAGTCAGATGTGAGCTATTGGTGTTGGCTGTCTGGAAGAGGGTGATGGGAAGGGTGGGAAGAGAGTGACCTGGGAAGCTCCATAGCAGACACATCTTTCTTAATGGAAAAATTCAATAGCTATGCCTGCCCCTGGCATTCTTGTCTGACTGTTGGCAGCCGGTGTATGGTCTGAAGCCATTGAAACATTTCAGGAAGCCAGACTCTCATAGATGAGTCACAGGAAACCATTGACAAATGGCCTTGGCCTCAATCCCTTCACCCAAATGAGAAGCCTATAAAATGATACATGCTTTCTTATGCTTTCCCCTGGATGAACTGGAGATGTCATCTTAAATCTCATTATTTTCAATATATTGCTGTTCACTCACAGTGTAAGTCAGTTTAAAATCTAGATATACGACTCCTTTCTGCAACACACATAGGCACAGTGATATTAAATTAAAGTAAAATACCTTGATAAAGAGCAAGGGCTCACACATGCTGCCTCCTCTTCCTGTCCTCTGTTCGTTCCTTTTCTGGCTCTAGGAACTGAACACAGGACCTCACAGACAAGAGGCAAGAGCTTATCAAGTACATGCCTCCAGCCCTCTTTTTACTTTTCATATTGGAGACAAGATCTCAGAACGTTGCCCAGGCTATCCTTGAACCCTCTTTACAGCTCCAGCAGATCTTAAATTGGAATTCCTCATAACAGCATCCAGAAAAGCTGGCATGGCAGGCATGTGCTGCTAGGCTTGGCTATCCACTCTTGTTGTAGCCTTCCTCTTTTTGGTCATTGAGATGGTTCAGATGGCAAAAGTACATGCTATGCAAGCCTGAGGACTGGAGTTCAGTCTCTGGTGCCCTCAATGCAAGGAGTTTGATCCTGAAAGTTGTACACTGACTTCCACATTCCTGCAGGCTCCTCCCTCCCTCCCCCACCTCTCTCTCTCTCTCTCTCTCTCTCACACACACACACACACACCATAACTTTTTCAAGAGTTAAAAAAAAACATACCATTTTTGAAGGATATTTGTCTTAGTGTCTTTCTTGTTGCCATGACAGAATGATCTGACAAAGGTAACCTAAAGGGTGTGTCTGTGCTTATAGCTCAGGGTACCATCCATCACGTAGGAAAGTGAAAGCAGACAGAGCCACTGTCCACAGCGGAGAGGCAGACAGGGAGGGATACTTTGCTTACAAGAACCGAGATTGTTTTCTCTCCATTGTATGTAATCCAGGATATCTGCAAAGGGCATCATCCTGACTGCAGTCATGATGTGTCTTCCCACATCAGTTGATGTAATCTAGATAATCCCTCACAGACATTCTCGGAGGATACTGTTAATCCAGACAATCCTCCACAGGTTTTCCCAGAGCCTTGCCTCCCAGGTGATTCCAGATTCTGTGAAAATGACAATCAGCCTTCTCACCATTGAGGATACTGAGAATATTTATCCGAAATGAGTTTCGTTTTATACTCGATTAAAAAATTATTAAAGCTTGGAGGACTGGTTTGGCCAGTCCTCCAAACACCAGGAGGGTGATATCAGCTCTTAGGAGTTGTCACTGAGAGGTTGTGTTTTCTTACCATCTTCTCTGGACTATTGCAGAGAGATTCTGGGACTCTGTTCTGGTGATCTCCCGCACTGGCACATCCAGCCACATTGCCGCTGCCCAGGCAGCCACCAGCCACCCCGTGTCCACCCTTTGGTCCAGCAGTACTGCATTCCCAATGGTGCAGAAGATAGGTACCATCATCACGTGTCACGGCTGAATCCTGAAGCCCATCCTCTCTCCTTCATTAATGATAATGACATTGCGACTTTGTGGATTTCCCATGTGTTTGAAAATATTACACAGCTTAGTCAAGGAGTGATTATTTCCCGTAGACTTGGAAAATGTACAGTACCAGGTAATCAGAGACAGTGGTGTGGGTTTGCATGCTCTAGGGACTTCACGTCCTTGAGGAAGAGAAAGGTTGTCTCACAGTCCTGAAGACCCTAAATGTTCAGTAAAGGTGTTGGCAGGAGCGCTCTCCCTCCAGAGGAATACCGGTAGGCAAGAGTCTTGCTTGCCTCTTTCAGCTCCTGGTGATGTCTGTTAACTCATGAACCTGTAACTCCAGGTCCTGTCTGTTTCTGCAGAGCCCCCTTCCATGTTTCTCAAAGAATGTTAATTTCCCCCCTCTTTAAATGAAATGATCCCGTTTTAAGATCCTTAGCTTAATCTTCCAAGAAGATTATTTTCACAAGCACCTGTAGTTACCTCTTGAACATATTTCCTTGGATGTACAATTCATCTACTTCATGGCTAAAACTGGCATCCAATGTTTAATGTTTAGGAATTGATATTAAAATGGAATTTATGAAATATTTGAGCCTTCTGTAAAAATAACATATATTTATAAGGCAGGTGCTTATTCATATTTCTTTCTTTTTTTTTTTTTTTGGTTTTTTGAGACAGGGTTTCTCTGTGGCTTTGGAGGTTGTCCTGGAACTAGCTCTTGTAGACCAGGCTGGCCTCGAACTCACGGAGATCCACTTGCCTCTTCCTGCCAAGTGCTGGGATTAAAGGCGTGTGCTACCAACGCCCAGCTCATATGTATTTCTTGAAAGTCAGTTTTCTTTCTTCATATCTTTAGAACAAACATAATGGGTTCAATGTGATTTACAAAATCATTAATAATGGAAAGAATTATGTAATGTATTGCCTTTCCTATAGGTCTGAAGTTCCTAGATATTCCATTAAGTTGTCCATCACAATAATTAGAAGAAGCGAGTCTTTATACTCAAATCTGAAGCCTCAGTGTTTTGGTTTCTTAACCACCCATGGCAATACTAATGGACATATCCATTCCTAGGCACTTGGAGTCACCATTCACTTCTCTAGCCCACAGCCTGCAGCTTTAAGCACCCAGAGGAAGAAGGCAGACAGCTCTCCCTGGGAGCACTGGCAGCATTTTGTTAAAAGAAAAACCTGCCATGTATGGGGAATGAAAGACAATGAAAAAAATAGCTTCCAATCTAGGCATCATACTGTTTGGTATGGCAAAGTATATATATACAGTACACTTGTCATAGAAAAATTATATATCTTGAACATTTAAAGAGATATCCTAAAAGAACAATACAAAAATATCAACATTGATTTGTTATGTAATATAATAACAAAGGAAATACTCTTAAATGTTTTCCATCTTACTATGAAACCATGGGCAAAAATTAGAATCTAGTTTCTTCTTAAGTGTACTTGAATGGTTTCAGCAAATGCCTTACCGTGACAAATTCCACATACTTGGAGAGAGTCACTGTATACCGTCTCACTTTCCTTTCCAAGGGGTCTTCACAATTACATTTACAAACCATTGAAGTTGGGTCTACACAACCGCAAAGAGTCAGAGTGTGTGTATGTCCACAGGATCTTGAATGTGTTGACAGTGACTTACTTCTGAGTTGTATGTGATGCTCACATTCACAGATGCCAATGCCACAGACATGCTGAGGCCTGTGACAGGACCAGATGTCCTTATAGATGCTTCTGTTCTCCACAGAGCTTCACTGAAGGGCCTCAGGTGTGTTGCTTCATCCAGGAAATCTAAAAGGAAATGGGAAAGGTAAATACAAGTGAACAGAAAGTTAATATTGGTCCATCTGCAGAATGTACTTTAATGGATAAGAACTTAAAATATTAGTTTTTCTTGAAGTATTATCATAGAGAAATACATCTATTGATAAAGTTAAAAGTTGTGTGTTTAAAACGAATCTCAGAGAGACTGCATCTGAGGTGAAACTCTCAGGTCTTTTTGGCCCCTTTTGGTTTATCATCATTGTACATGAACTAAAGTAACATTTAAATTGTCCTGATAGACTGACACTGAGCAGACAAAGCTTTGATTTCTTGCTCTAAAAAAATATTTGCTTAAAAGAACCTGTAACACAAGGCATGGTGCACACCTGTAACCCCAGCACCAGAGGGAAGGGATGGGGTTAAAGCGCCTGTATTACAAGCTTGAGGACTTGTATTTCATCCATAGCAGTCATGTGAAAAACCAGGCATAGCCGTGTAGACTTGCTTTCCCAGCATTAGGGAGGCAGAGACTAGTGGACCTCTGGGGCTCACTGGCCAGTTAGCTTAGTGTACTGGATGACAAAGACACATATTCCAAGACAAAGAGAGTTGCTGTCTGAAAATGATGTGGACAGAATCCGAGAAACAGCATCCTAGGCAGTCTTCCGTCCTCCATGCATGTTACATGTGAACGTGAACAAGCACGAACATAGACAGAACGCGCATGGGCATGAAGAACTTTTTCATAAATTTATGATGTAAGTCTAGCAGAGAGAAATGTTCACTGGGCCTATGTGAGTCTACGAGGCACACTGGTTGATTAGCCAGAGTACACTAATCTACAAGACCATGTTTATGCAATATAATGTATGCAATACAAGTGCAGTTGTGGTATAGTTAACAATATTAAAATTTAATGCTATAGAAAGATCATAAGCAAATTGTCAGTTTTATTAATGATATTTACAAGATTGCATTCTTTAAACATTTTGTTAATTTGAGAGATTAAAAATTCTATTTGAGTATGACGTGAACATACTTGATGAAAACCAAGATATGGGTCACTTTTCATGTGTCTATAGAATGTTACTACCTTGTCATCATTGTTTATTTTTTATTTTTTATTTTGTGTGTCTATAGATGTGTGTGTTCATATATATATGTATATATATGTATATATATGTGTGTGTGCAATTTATTTTGCTATATTTGGGAACATCTTGCTTTTAAATAAATCATCTTTCAGGGTTTTGGCAGGGTGCCTCTCTGTCCTTTGAGAGACTTAATCTTATCTAAATTGCTCACAAATGCATCATTAGTGTGTGCAGCCTCAATGACCAGAGTGCACTCTAAAATGCACATGTTGTCTGGTGCTTTGGGGATGTGATGGAGATGAAAATAGAGGCTTGAGCATGCTAGACAAGTGTTTTCTCACTGAGTCATGCTCCGAGTCTTTGCTGTTTTGTTGTTGACATCCTTTGTTTTTTGTCATTGTTTATTTTGAGATGGGATATTTATAGAGGGCTCTGTCTGATTGTGAACTTGCTCTGCAGCCCAAGTAGGACTTGAACTCATGATCTTGCTTCAGCCTTTTGATTACTTAGTATTATAGACATGTACCACAAAATCAGGCAATAAAGATTCTTTGTTTGTTTGTTTGTTTGTTTGGTTTTTGTTTTTTCAAGACAGGGTTTCCTTTTGTAACCCTGACTGTCCTGGAACTAACTCTGTAGACCAGGCTGGCCTTGAACTCACAGAGTTCGACTTTCATCTACCTCCCTAGTGCTGGGACTAGAGGTGTGCAACATCACTGCCCATCAAAATGATTATTATTTATTAAGTTTAGTAAGTTTATTCAGTCCTCAACATAAATGTGCATATCACATACATACACACACACACACACACACACACACACACACACCCTTTACCAACTGGTTCAACATTTATAATTAAACGTTTATTCATACTGACATTTTTCTAACTACTGTCATCTTGTCAAGCCTGAAGACCACTTCCTCCACTTACTGAAATCAGTGATTTCTTTAAATTCTTTTGCTTGTTCTTCTTAGTCCACTAACAAAACACTTTGAAAAAACTGCTCTAGATGGACTTAGCAGGGTGCATTGAACTGAGTCTAGTTGATACCCACAAGCTTAGCTTTAACCTGGTATATTCTTTCTCATGATGTGGCATTGCTTTGCTTCCTCTGCCTGATGTAGGATGATGCATTCTTTCCCAGTCCCCTTCCCTCTTTGTCCTCTCTTCTTCTTATGCCCCTTCTTTTTTTATTCTTTCTAATTGCTCACACTGATGGATTTGGTATCTTATGATTCTTGGGTGATTTCATGCCCTTCTTACAAACAGGCATTAAGTGAATCAAGGTTCATGGATGGTTTTGGAACTCAAATTGGGATTGTAATACTTGGACTCAGGTGGTACCTGCTGGCTTCAGAGCTGGTAAGTTAATTAACTATCATTTAGTCTGAGAATATATTTCAGTGCTTCTTATTAAGATAGCATCTTTGGAAAACACGAAAAATTAGATGTGTGTAATTTTTCTTTTTGTCCAAATTGATAATTCACAAATTTAGTTTCAAATAAAAAAATGCTGCCTATGCAATTTTCTTGGGAGAGTTTGCCAAATGCAATTGAGGGGAAATATCAATAAACTATTAGATTGTTCTCAAATCATCCAACCATGAACTTTTCATGTTCTACTTTTTAAAAATATTTTGATTTAAGCCATTTCCATCCTGTGGGATACCATGCTCTTTTTTAAAGGCCTGGAGAAGGTCTCAGAAGAATGTCTTCAGTTCACACTGTGAGGCTACCACAAAGGGTAGTCCTCAATCAACATAGCGTTTGTGAATTATTGCAGTTTGGAAAATCAGTAAAAATGTAAGCCTTGAGAGCATGCCAGTTCTTGGCAATTTTCTTTTCTATGGGAAAGCGTGTTTAGCAGAAGTGAAAGGATAAACTGGAGAGTAAGCATAAATTCAGGGGTTTGGCTTGAAGAGACACTGTCCTTACTCTCTTCAGTCCTTGCTCATCAAGAGGCAAATCACAGTCCAAGAGTGAGAACAGTGTTTATAGTTTTGATATTTTTTTCAAATGGATTTTTCATCAATTTTATTTTATTTCATCAGGAAGTATTCTCTACTCTATTAGTCTTCTGTGATTACATCTGGTTGAGTATGGGTAGCAATTGCCCAACTTCAAGTAATTTCTTTTGTGTGTGACCATACTTTGTACAACCCATAGTCTTGTATCAGGGTGACTTCAAAGAAGTGAACCATCCAGTTTCTTGAGCTATGGGGATTTATGTAAAACATACTGATAGATTGATAAACTGACATACTATAAGATTTATTATTCAGGGTACAGTCCAACTTGCTGTCTGCCATTGGCTAAATGTAACTTTTAACCTTTCATAAAAATGAAAATTAAAAATGAAGATCCACTCAACTTAATACTAAAGACTGTGCTTGCCCTGAAATGAATTAAATCGGGACTTATTTTTTTCTCTGTTTTTCCATTATAATTTGTAATTGCTAGAATGTGGGCCTCAGGGAGGCTTCCTTAATAATATTTCTAAGGAACTCTGATATATTTCGCATTATATTGCCAATTTCAGTTTTTGACTTTAATGTATGATATATACCATAAAAATAATGGCATATTTCATCAATAGAGAACACTTTCAGAGGTCTTGTGATATGTCTTCCCAAGGAAGACCAAAGCAGCACATGATTAATGTGTTCAGCCTATTTAAAGATTGATCCGAGGCAAAACAAATTCAAAATACTAGATACTAGCCATTAGCTTTCAAGCTGAATTAAGTATTTCCAAGTAGAAGCCAGGATTGCAGGGCATTGAACTTACATTAATCATCAGATACCTGGCAAGGAGGATCTTGTCTTCCAATGATTACTTTTATTTTGTTAAGAGTCATTACTGCCAATGCACATATTTTGAGGGTGTTTACAAGTCTTTTATTTTGAGTTAACTGTATGTTCACATATAGTTTTTGACAAGTAACACAGAGATTTTGTATACCCATTTTCACCTGCACCCATACAAATACCATCCAAAGCTACTATGTTTAAATGTTTTTTTGGAATGTGTGACTTGTATACCATAAACCACATTCGTTAAATATCCAGAGTTGGAAGAGTTAGGACAGGTGTGTCATCACCAGCCTATCAGGATGCATCCCTCTGCTCTGACGTCAGGGTTCCACCTCCACCCTGAAGTCCCATTAGCTCCAAATGCTGCCAGTATTTATTCCTCCATCACACAGGCTTTAAAATCTCACACTACTGACTCCCTCTTTAGACCCTTTTCTCACTGCTCGTGGAAATAACTTTATCAAAACAGGGAGCTTGCATTTCACTTGGACAGGCCACCTGCTTAAGAAGATCCATCCCAGAGTGTTGGTTGAACTCATAAAGCACGATAGAACCTAGGAATTTTGTGGTTATATTTATATTTTTTTACATTGTATATTTATATATTTGCTGATATGGTTGCATAGCATAATCTACATTCTAGTTTTCTTACCTTCCCCTCTGTTGCCATTTTATTTATTAGTGTGCTTTGAAGATAGGTTCTCAGGTAGCCTCATGCTTGTTACAAACTGAGACAACCTTTGGGCTGTTGTTGCTCCTACCTTTACCTCCGAGGAACCGTAGCTATGAACCTTTGCCACAATGCCGGTCTTATCTAGGACTTACATGCTTTAAGGCTTCAAGTGTTGATTGAACCTACCTTTAAGAAAGGTGTCGCTGGGTGAGTCTCGCATCGAAATCATTTTCCCCTTCCTTTACTAGCTGCAGTCCAGGCCAAGAGTGACGCAATGGCCAGGATGTCAGCCAGCACTGGCCCTCTGGCTGCTTAGCTATTCCTTCATCATCCTGTGACATCATTACCTGCGAGGGGAGCCAAGCCCTTTAGAGCAATTTATTAGTGACCATGAATGATTCTCTTATTTTTTGGCTCTAA